TACCTGTCACATTCAGCAGGTTGTGTTCTCGTTCCCAGTCAGGGAAAACCCCACAGGCTGCGATAAAAGGGCCAAGACAACCAAATTGGGTTTATTCAGGATTTAGTGGGAACACCAACATGCAGAAGCCTGATCTGACTGTTCTGACTCCGCGGTAATAAAAAGGTTGGGGACCACTGGTCTGGAGGACTGGCACGGCGCCCCCTGCTGGCACCACGCCACACTGCTCCATTTGGTTCTGATGCTGAACTCTGTTCTGGTCCAAATACTGGAACGGTTCTAGTTCTAGTTCAGGTTCTGGGTCTGGTTCTGGTCCGTACCTTGGCCTGATGGTGGAAGGTGCATCTCTCGTTGTAATCCTGGAACTTCTTCTCCTGCCGAGCAGCTTTACTCACCTGCAGGAAGGAGGAACAGACAGTGAGCGCTTGCTGCTCTCTGATTGGATGAGGCGCGTGATGATGTGGCGGCGAGTCGACCAACCATGGCGGAGCAGTTGTAGTAATCTTTATGTGTGGGTTTCCATGGTTTCAGGCAGCGCCAGCAGAAGCCGTGGTTACATTTGGCACAGGTCATGCTGGGAACAGACAGAGACCTTCATCACCTTCATCACCTTCATCATCACCATCTTCATCTTCATCACGTACTGCAGGCAGCCCTCGTTCTTCTCGATCTGCGCCTGGCAGCTGGGGCAGCGCTTGGAGATCAGCTTGGCCAGATGTTTGCTCTGCGCCTCCATGCTCATCCCCTCGTAGAACCCGCCGTCGTCCATCCACTGGGACATGTGGCTGCAGCTGGCCGGGTAGTGGGCCTGGGGGCAGAGGTCAGGAGGTCAGCGACTCGGGCCGGCACCAGGAGCCGCACAGACACCAGCACGCAGCCGGGGGCCAACCGGGAAGCAGCTTCTGGACCGTGACCCGCCCTTAAACCGAGACGTACCGACCCCGACCCGCCCTACGGCGTGACCTCTGACCTCGGGGAAGTTGCAGCTGAAGCAGGAGGACCAGCAGCAGCGGGAGCAGGTGCCCATGCTGCCCACGGCCTCCTTGCAGAGGATCTGGTCGCAGCCCTGGGGGTTGGTGCACCACGTCAGGTTGGAGCAGCACTCCACGTAGCCTCTGAGCAAGGCGTTCTCGTACTGTGCAGAGGAGAGCGGGGTCAGAGCCCGGACGACCCGCTGGGGGGCGGCGAGCGGCGTTACCTTGGCGATGGTGTCCCTGTCCGTCAGGATGCCGAGGAAGAACTGGGAGGTGGGCTGAGCCTGGCAGTCTGTGATCGGACAGTTACAGTTCATGACCAGATTCTGTTCGATCCGCGCCGTCAGGTACTCCTGCCAACATGACTAGAAGGGACAGAGAGAGATTCACAACCAGGACACCGAACACACACTAAACACACACCGAACACACACACCGAACACACACACTGAACACACACACCAAACACACACCAAACACACACCGAACACACACCGAACACACACACTCCGTCTCAGCCCCCTACAGCTGAGGGGCGGTTCTGACCCGGCAGCAGTAGTGCATGCAGCTCAGCGTGGGGACGGGCTCGGCGTCGGGGCCCCGGGGCCCCAGGCAGACGGGGCAGGTGGGGGCGGGGCTCGGCGGCTGCGGGTTCCTGCAGGTGAGGCCGGCGGCCATGATGAGGGCGTCGGGGTCGTCGGTGTAGCGCTGCACCAGCAGGTCCACGTTCCACCTGCAGTGGATCAGCAGGTGTTCGGCCCGGTCCGAGTCCAGGCTGAGGGTCGCCGACACCTGTGGGGACAGGGAGAGCGTCGGCGGCCTGATCGCCATGGCGACGCAGGGCGAGAACCGCCACAGAACCCGCGAAGAAACAGGCCATTGTCAGCGGCGACGAACTCTGACCTGCTGCACCGTCCGCTGCATCAGCTGACGGACTTCCTCCTGCGTCATTGTCCGGCCCATCGAGAACAGAACCGAGTCCAGAACCCCGTCCTCAAACCGCAGCGGTGCCGGTACCAAACTGGGAACATGAGGACAGAATGAGACGGAGCGGGTCAGAACCGGGCCGTGTGTGCATGGGGTCAGGGGTCACACCTGATGTCGGCCACGCTGTCCTTCCTGGAGCCGGCGCGGCCGAAGGAGAACTGGGCGTGGCCCTTCTGGGGCGTGGCCGGGTCCTCGGGGACGAACTCCACAATGTGCGGGTTGTCGTCGTTGCGGCGGACGCAGCCCTTGTTGATGACGTGCATGATGCAGGACAGCACGTCGCCGGTGCTGCAGCCGAAGCGGCCGCCGCCCGGGGAGCGAGCCGCCTCCTGCTTCTGGCACGAGTCCATGACCTGCAGAGGAGCAGCAGGACAGCAAAACCTGGATGATCCTCTTCCACAGAGCTAATTATGTAAACGAGGACGTTACATTCATTCTGCCATGTTGGTTTTTGTTGTTTTACTTTTATTTCATTTCTAAAATTGTTTTAATGATGTAATGAAGTGATTGATGAGCAAAGCTGCAGTTACATGTGGATCCTAAATAAAATAATGCTGCAATGCAGCGGGGCAGTGGGGCAGCAGTGCAGCGGGGCAGTTGTGCAGCGGGGCAGCTGTGCAGTGGGGCAGCGGCTGACCTTGAACACCAGGTTGTCGATGTGCATCTCCTTCTCCTGCTTCATGATGTGGACGATCAGGCAGTAGATGAAGTTCCTCTTCCTTTCCAGCGTTCCCGCCGCGTCCTCGTCCACATTCAGGTACGTCTGCCTGGGAAGCAGCTGCAGCGATGCAGGAACGCCCTGCAGGCTGCGCGACGCCACCTGCTGGTTCAGCTGCAGCACAGCTGAGGATGGGAGGAAGGTTAGAGAGGAAGAGGAGGATCAAGGCTGCAGCTCTTACCTGTGCTGGGCTCTTCCTCAGAGCTGCAGGTCAAAGGTCCTCCGTCTGCGATGAGCGGCTGCAGAGCGTGCAGCAGCACGGCAGCGGACAGGCCGCTCTCCTGCAGCAGCTGCTGCACTCTGACCTCCTGCAGACACACGGCAGGTCAGAACCGGCCAGAACCCCAGCGCCACCGAGACCCGGCTGGATCCTCACCTCCTGAGCGTTGAAGTGCAGCAGAATGAACATCTGCAGCGTGGAGACGTGCAGCGTCCAGCCGCCCAGCCGCAGCTCGCCGTGGCCCAGCCACGTCCACTGCAGCCGCCGAGGCTTGGAGTGGCTCAGGCTGTACATGGACTGACCTGCAGACACGGGATTAACTAAACCCGACTGGTTAAACTAAAGCCCGGCTCCAGACCAGCAGCAGAGCCAGAGCTGAGCAGAACCTCAGTGCTTACCCGGCTTAAGTTCAGATCAACCTGGTTTAATCCAGGATGAATGTGGCTTAAGCAGCAATTAAAGCGGTTTAATCGCAGTCAGGAATAAAGCAGAGATAAACCAGTTCACCCAGTGCTGGCCTCACTGGAACTCACTGTGGCTGTAGAACTGGGTGAAGTGGTTCAGGTAGGAGCAGAGCTCAGCTGGAAAATGTTTGGCTGGTTCATCCAAGAAGCAGCCCGAGGACACGGCCCAGCACCGTGGAGACAGAACCAGAACCTGGACCTCCGCCTCCTCCTCGGACTCCACCCAGTCTTCCATGACCTGCAGCAACAGAAGGACAAAGGAGGAAGGAGGCTGAGGGCCGATGGCCCCCTGCTGTCCCCCTGCAGCCTGCCGCCCCCTACCTGGTCCTGCTCCTGCAGGTGGCGGTCCAGCTGCTGCAGCCGGTACAGGTGGAACTCCTGCTGCAGCTCCACCGACTCCCTCAGGTTCTTCAGCATCTGCTGAGGGAAGCGACTTGGGAAGCAGCTGCCGATCTGGTCGATCACAGCGCTCTCCAGCCATACGTTGCCCTGGGCGAGCAGCCGGTCCCCGAGGTAGTACCTGCACAGGTAGGAGGGGGGCGGAGTCTCATCGCTGCTATGGAACTGGGTCGGTTCTGCTCGGGCATTCCTACCTGTAGAAATGCTCGAAAGTGTTGGCGAGCTCCAGGCCCGACAGGAAGAGCATCGGCTCCAGGAACTGCTGCAGTCGCTCCAGGGTCTCCACTCCACCAGAGGGCGCCGCGCTGGCCTGGATCATCTGGTCGATGTACTGAGCGAAACGCTCACTGACCTGCAGACACAGGAAGATGGGAAAGGAGCTCAGACTCACAGGATGGGGCCCTCGACGGCCCAGTCAGAGTGACTCTTCAGCCTGAAGCTCCTCTGGAGGGTGAAGCGTCATTCCTCCACGGGAGCCTTAAGCCGGACCCTCCTGATTAGACCCGGCCGGTTCTGGACTCACGTGCATGGCTCTGAGGATGGAGAGCTGCAGCAGCGCAGCAGAGAAGCCGTGTCTCAGAGCGAGGACGAAGGCCGTCTGCTGTCCGAACAGCTCCTCCATGGCGTTTTTCAGGCGCAGGTACAGACTACGATAGCGCTCCACAAAGTCCGGCAGGCTGCAGCTGGACTCCAGGAACTTCTTGACCTGGTGGAGGTCACATGATGCAGAGTTCAAAGTTCATGACTGAACAGGACAGATGACAGGGTTTACGTTGGTGTGGCTTTACCTGCCGCTGCACCACTCCCTGCCAACAGAGGGCGATGCCTGCAATGCTGCTGCTGCTCTTCACCTTAGGCTTGGATGAAGACGAGGAGGAGGAAGAGGAAGCAGCAGGGGAGTCTTTGTTTTTACCCTCTTTACCATCTAGAAAACAAACGGCACAGGGTTGTTGAATGGAGCGGGGTGAAATCAAAAACAGAAAACTGCAGCCACAAACACAAACGAACAATAAAAATTAAGCCAGGCTGCGACTCCTTCCTCTGCTTCCCTCTCACTGGGAACCGGGTCAGAACCGGGTCAGAACCGGGACCACCATGGGAGGAGCTCAATGGTTGAAACTCAAAGAAAACATGGCCACATCTGAAGAAGCTGAGTGGTTTGGTGGGTTCAGGCGCGCCCTGCTGGATGCCTTTACACCTGCAGGGTTTTAGTTTTAGTGAGCAGCGCCCTCTTGTGTCGAGTCAGAAGATTAACAACCCACTCAGTGTTCTCCATCCAGCAGGGGGAGCCGTGCCAGGACCCTGGCCTCATCGGGACCAATGAAATGAGAGCAAAAGAAAAAGCAAACGGCTTCAGAACCGAGCTCATACTCACTCTTCAGCTCTTTGCTCCGGTTCAGAACCTCTGCAAACAAAACAAACTCCTTTAGTCTCCAAACTGCCCCAGGGGTGAGGGAGTTCTCATTCTGCCCCGTTTTGAGTTCAGATGATGAACAAATCGGATCAGTACCCCAACCAGTTGGATCACTAATCCTACCCATCAGATAATTAACCTGGTAGGTACTCGGATCACTAACCCATCAGATCAGTATGAAACCCGTCGGATCAGTACCGAGGGTTTCCCCCAGAGGACTTGTCCACGTGGTTTTGTATTAAAGGGTGTTACTGGAAGACACCGTCTGCCAAACGCTATTTAAACCCACAACTGTAGCGTCTCAACAACAGATGAAAAATACAATTAAAATGAATACTTGCTCTTCTGTTTAATCCATATTGCGTAAGGAGCCCCATCAGGCCCCCAGGGATTCAGGGCCCCATAAATGCTAATATTTTAACACAAACCACAGACATATAAATGCAACATTTGTCTATTGAGATTATAATTGCTGGTAGATTTGATGTAATGGTTCCAGTGGCGATTCTAGCCCTGTTTTATCTCAGCACCCCTGAAGGGTTGCCACCCATCCCGTAAAATATGGAGTCGTCCCATATTTGGCCGTTAAATGTGCGACCCCTATTGAACCGATGCATAAATGTCCAACAGACTCGCCTGTCACACACATATCAACACTAAGTTTAGCAATAATGACCAAAATAAAACACAGGAAATATTAAGGTCAGCTAAATTCTCGTTGCGGGAGCTGAAGGACCCCAGAACGATACGGACCCGCGCCGTTGCCTAGAGACGGACACTACGCAGCCGCAGTGAGCTGCTGTCAACCCACGTTTTTAGAAAACGTCCCCGACCCGATTCTCCACCGTCCTTAGAACCAAAACCTTTCGTAAAGATGCAGACGTGAGAAGGAAGACGCAAATCCCAGGCTGAATAATATCAGTGAGGATGGATTCTTTGTCAGGACAGGAACCGCAGACCCGTCAGAACCGAAAGAACCAGACAGAGTCTCTTCATCTTCAATCATCTACTGTGGCTGAGACATAAAAGTATGAAGTCCTCTCTCTCTCTCAGACACGACCTCCTCCTGCAGGGACTCGTTGCCGTCCGTGTTTGTGGGCGAGTTGTGTCTCCATTTGGCCAAATGCATTGATTTAATAAATGTCTTGAGTGATTTCACATTCTGGTTTTTGGCTCATTCTTTTGTCTTGCCTGAAAAATCTAAGAGCAGGTAGAGAGACGTGTTATTGAAGCGATGGTAATTTGAGTCTCTCAACACCATTTAAAAAACAAATCATACTAATAGATTAACAGTAAAACCATAAATATTTCCTAGACTAAAAACATTTGTGAGGACTTTCTGTGCGTTTTATTCAGACATGTTGATATATTTGATGAATACACTGTTCTGAGGTCATTTAATGTATGATTTCACTAATATTTTTTAACATGGTTTACCAGTTTGGATAATCTGACTTCCAGGATACCATTGTAAAGTATAGAAACAAGATTCTTGCTTGAACCTGACTTCAACAAGGACAAAAACACATGAACAAGTTTGGCTGATCCCCAATTGTCACATATATTTCAATTGAAATAGGACCTAACCTGTAAGAATCTGAAGAAGTCGTCCCTCTCCAACCCGTTAGATCTCTGAAGTTTCTCAAAACTCTGAAACATTCCCTTATGGGTAAATGTATAGTAGGAGGTTAATCCTTTTTGGATCCATCCTCTAAATCTCCCATCAAACTTGTTCGGTTTAAATGCAGAGTCAAAGGCACACCATCTGAGTATTTATATCTGGGTCCCCAATCCACAAATTTCAACCACGTTTCTCCAAGAATCCAATATTGTGTGTAACATTGACTCATCTGGTATATTCAGCCTCTCTTGTAAATCCTTGTCCATTAATACTGATATTAAAGGTATTCCTTCCTCTCTTGAGCCTTTTATATCTTTCCACTTTGCATCATAAGATGGAGAGCATAGACAGAACACTGGTCTTAACTGAGCTGCAGGTAATAAACCCGTAGATTGGGAAGACCCAGTCCCCCTTTGTCTTTCTTTAACTGCAGCGTTCTATACCTCACCCTTGGTTTTTTCCCCTGCCAAATATACTGAGATATTCATCTTTCCCACTCTATGAAACATCTTTCTGATATCTGGATAGGTAAAGAATTAAATAAATATAGGAAACGTGGGAGAATGTTCATTCTGACCGATTCCACTCTGGAGTATAAATCTGAGAAAGGGATCAGGTTCCATCTCTGTATGTCCGATTTCAGGTTTGAGATTAGGGGCCCATAGTTTAAAAATCCTGGAGAAATCCTTTGGCAATGTTACCCCTAAGGATTCTGCTTCCCAACTCCAATTGTACAGGTTTTTAATATTGTTCTGTGGGTTATAGTTTATCATTAAGACCTGAGTTTTTGAAATGTTTATATTGCAGCCCGAGATCGAACCATATTCCTCGATCGCCCCCATAAGTACAGGTAGAGTTTGGGCTGTTTGGTTGAAGTTCAACTTTACACCTTACAATCACAACAATGCCAGTTTAGACTTTGAGTAACTTGGTAAAACTGTATTGTGTAACATTAAGTCATGCCTGGCTGCAACTGTATCGATGGCAGCTCTTCTTCTTCTTCTATTCAGTGTTTGTAGCTTGTAGCTCCTGCTACTAGT